ACGAAGCTTCTCCCGGCATGTTGGGAACTCTGATGCTGTTCTACTCAGGTCCTTTCACATAGATGTGCCTGGACCGTCTGGACCACCCTTCAGCCGCATCAAGGTCTCTCTGATCGTCTGTCATCGAAACATTTAAGAACTCATCGTCTTATATTCAGGTTGTCGCTCGCTTAAATCAGGAAGTTAAAGGCTGGTACGTCTCAATTGCCCAGATGGTCCGGGAAGACGGTCATGAGACATCATGTCGAGCTCTGGTGCGAGTTTGCCCGACAACTTGTCTGCTCTGCTCTGGCTATCTGGGAACCTGCATTATTACTGACAACGCATTCATGCAGAGGAGCTCTGTGAGTCGAGTGCGACCCATGATCCACAGCAGCACACACTTTCGTCGACTTGCCTAACCATGTTCGCCATCGAGTTGAAACGGGACGCAAGTGTGAATGGCATAAGAGCGAGGTGGTGGCAAGATGCACAGTTTTCGATCAGGTTGATCTAATTGCGCACATCAGAGTTTTGACTTTTCAGCATAGGAAGATTTTCCGCTTGGGTTGCAACCTTCCCTTGGCGCCTAACCTGCCTATCAAAGATATTGCTACGAAATATGTACTCGGCTTCTTTGAGCGTTTCGTTAACGGTTTTCTGGTGGCTTTTAGTACCGCGGGCAGACGACCCAACCGAAATTAAGGCCCGGCATCGTCAGAGCACCATTCCCCACCTGCCAGCTGTCTCTGCATAACGCTGATTGCGTCAATGGAAGATCTCTAGTGAAGGCCCAGAAGAAAGATCTACTCCCCGGATCCAAGTCGGCTCGCAAAAGCTGTTCTTCTGCAAGCCTCACCGGTCACGCATGTAAGCGGAGAAGCAAGTCAGAGCCGAAAGGCCATGACAAGCCACGAGCACCTCTGGTATATGGGCCACTTTTTCATTCGACGGTGTGCGCGGGGAATCGTCAAGGCAGCTTGTCGCCAATCAAGCCCTGTATCTGGATCTGCAGGAGCCCCAGACAAGAGGAATCATGCTAAGAATGGCCCCGACATCAAGGTTCCGTTAACTGGCTGCAGAGCATGCCAACACATCAACACATTACGATGGCAGAAGAGCATGAAAATGTTATCCTCCCCAAGATGGACCAATACCCAGCCGCTCACTCGAGGCCGTTTGGCCACTGTGGAATCTCTTTGCATGCCCCACGCAATGCCGCTGTTTTCGCGCTTGCTTTGCTGTCAGTGCAGGGTTCTCCTGTTATCCAAGCATGAAATATGCGGGAATGCCACCATGGTTCACCTGTAAAAGGCCCAGCAATGTCGATGCCATCAGTTTTTGCTGCTACCTGACAACCTTTGCCCTACGAAATCCCGCCGTACCTCAAGCCAGGCGACATCTTTGCGAGAGGTGACACTGGTTGATAAGTTCTTGTTCGTTGTCAACCGTCTGACTCGTTTGGTGGTTTTTTCCTTCTTGTTCAACAATTGGATGCACGGTATATCGGGCTTCCAAGTACCCAAAGGAACCCCAAATTGAAGCAGACATGCTACACACCGTCTACCTGGCCAGTATGTCTCATTCAACGCCTCGTTCTTCCAGTTTGGTTTCGATACCTGGCTTGCACACTTGTTCCTGGGTTGAGTGCCTCATCATGTTGACCTGTTGAGATTCACTCCACGCTCTCTTGGTCGCTCAGGGGTCGGCCAGCCTTGCAGATGTGTCCCAATACACGACCATTGGAAACTCTCCTGGATTCCTTTTCGATTGTGGACTTCTTGACGCTCATCTTTGCTCGACGCTTGCCCATTCTCTTCTGGTCTCAGACACTGACGGCTCTTCCTCAGGTCTATGTCAGCGCCGGCGATGGCCCGAGCCTGCTTACCAAATATCCTATAGTCCCTCTGGGTATCGCTGCGTTGTCAGGGTGAACAACCGCGAATACCAAACTCCTACGTATCATTCTTCGGAGAGTTCGGCCAAAGAGAATGCTGCATTGATCGCCTTCAACATTTGCCGAAACTTCTCTGCCAACGATGGCATGTACCCGACTGGATTTGCCCACGGGGGTGTAATACAGGGCAATCCAGTGCCTGTTGGCTCCGGTCGTCACAGCCGTAGGAGCGGAACGGACACGACTCGAATGGAGTGTCGCTATGGCGACTCTGACAGCGCTGGAAGCCGAAGTGGAGGAAGCAGCCCTGATTGGAGCGAGTCTCGCCTCTCGAGCCCGTTGCGCACGCCTCCATCTCGTCGAGCGGTCTATTCCTCGGACGCCGGCCAATATAGCAGACGAGCCATGCCACGGTACTAGGCATCTGGCGACGACCCTGAAAAGTTCACCATGCCCTGTCTCTCGGATAATGTCCTCAATCAGCTCGTTTCAGATGCTGTGTACGACCCTTACGACTCACGAGACCATGACGTTTGGCGGAGGAGCTCAATCGTCCATTATTATTATTATTTTTTTTTCTACCTCATGATTCATGATGATGACACGACTTCGCATTTTCTGTGACGGTTGGCCGTGGTTAGATAAAGAGTTTAGCAGGCAACTGTGTGGTTCTCTGAGCCTTGTTTTTTGAAGCATAGCGGCTTGAAGAGTTGGGTGGAGTGCTTCTCGAGAACAACATCCTCCCCTTGATCCAAGTTGTTTAGCTCGGAAGGATGTGTGAATGCTCTTGATGCTAGATCTTAGAATAGCAAATCATTTATTTACTTCTTTCTTCACGAAGGTCCAAAACGTGGGAACTCGACAGGGGGATTCCTGGGTGTCCCTGTTGGGGCTAAGTAGCCCGCTCTTTCGTCTGATCTCGGTAGAGTCGCCGAGGAGTTCTTGCTAGCGAACAGGACAGGACGGAATGTTGAGGATCGGCGGAAAGGGAAGGAAGACAAGGAAAAGACGAGGGTGAAAGGATGGGAAAGGAGAAAGCCAGCCACCAGCGGGCCTCCAAGCGACCAAGTGAGCGAGGGAGCAAGCATCCGGTGACTTGTTGCTACCGCTGGGCAGGTCAAAGAAGCTTAGCTCAGAACTTGGCGCTTGAAATCTAGTTCACAAGGATTGATGAATTGTTTAGCGAGTTAGGTATTACCTACTCCTCGTTGGTACTCTGAGCTTTGTTGGTGTACCAAGCTGTCGGGAGGTATTCGGGCCAGTAGGCTGCCCAGGGCTGCCCAAGCCACTGGGCAGCCTCCCAGGCGGGCGCTGAGGTGCCTCACGGTTGATTGCCAATTGGGCCACAACTGTTCCGGCTGTGGCTGACGCCTGCGTTGGAAGCTTCACGAGTCATGACGTCGCCTTGCTTTTTTGCCCTGTTGATCATCATGCTGCAATCCTTGGAATCTCGAAGCTGCATTTGTTCTTGTTTCTAGCTCACGAACGAACTGCACCCGTCTTGCTCAATACCAAATCACCGGAGTGCACACCAGCAGTCCGCCGATATGGTGGTTTTGCTTCGGTGACCTTTGTAGCCGTTGAGAGAGGCGTCAACAATGCGGGTCGTATTGACTCTTCGGCGACTCGGGTTGGTTAAACCATTGACCCATGCCCATCTCGCGCCCAATATTCGACCCGCTGCTTTTTGTCGACCTCAATACCTCACGCCCACGAGACTACCACCCCTGGACCCGGCCGCTTTCACTTCATATTGCTGCAGAAGCATTTCTCACGAACAGAAGGCAAAGGATCTCAATCAACAGGGGGTCGATGATGCTCTTTCAGAATTCGATAGTGTTCTGACGGACAATGGAGAAAAGCAACAGCGGACACCATGGCATCGTCAAGGAGCGGAAGAGCCTCCTGTGCGACGACAACGCTCTGCGGGGGCCATGACTAAAGGTACGTAGTTCTTTGCGGTCGGTCGCAAGAGCTCTAACGAGACTGTAGGGAAGCTGCTCACCACCCCTTCGAGACTGCTCAAACTTGTTCTGCCCTTGACTACGTCCGATCACAATGACGACAGGAAAAATATTGCTCCCCTTGCTCTCCTTGTACACCCACAACAACCACTATCTTACCTCGAAAGGTTGATCCAAGCCGAACTACCTAGCGTTGAAACTGAAACGGGAGACAAACGGTTACCGGTGATATCCTTTCGCGCGATGGAGGCTGAAGGCGATGAGATCATGCCCAAGAACCAGACGCCAGAAGAGGAAGAACGGGATCAACAGAAGAGCGCTCTCGGAGAGGGTGGTGTCCAAAGCTACAGCGGAGCTGGCAGAGAAGGGACGGGTGAAGACTCGGGCGAGTTCGTCAGATGGAGTGCCTCCACCGAGATTGGTGATTTCATCAGGGACGCGGCCAGAGCAAAAGAATTTGAAGTCGAAATTGAAGGCAATCCGAGGACAATCAAAGTCGCCGTGCCGTCCTTCAACGACAGAACTTTCTATCTTCGACAAAGGCTTCGCAGGATCTCGAAGAAGATTGCCGATTTGGCTGCTATCAAGCACGAATGCGATGTGGCCGCTCACAAAAGTGGACAGAGGATCGCCCTCGGCGGATGCGGGGTGTTGATTGGATACTGGTACGTGGTATACCGTTTGACGTTCGAAACAGATCTCGGATGGGATGTCATGGAGCCCGTGACCTATCTCGTCGGAATGGGATCAATTATCGGCGGTTATATGTGGTTTTTGTACCACAATCGCGAGGTGTCGTATCGTTCGGCGATGAACCTCACCATCAGTCGTCGGCAGAGCCGTTTGTACGAGCTCAAGGGCTTCGACCCGCAGAAGTGGGAAACTCTGACCGAGGAGGCAAATGCTCTCAGAAGGGAAATCAAGGCGGTGGCTTCTGAGTATGATGTGGAATGGGACGAAAGAAAGGACGAGCACGACGAAGCTGTTGTCAAGGCATTGAGAGAAGAACGCCAAAACGGGGGCAAGAGCAAGTCGAAGAAGAACAAGGACGATGGAGACGACGAAGATTAAAACGCCATTAATATCTGCCCAACAGCCTGCCATGGAACCAAACTAAGAGTCGTACAGAATTACAAGAGTCTTCCCGCCGATCCATCCCTTCAGCGACTCACATATTTGTCCCGGGCAGGATCGAATATTTGTGAATCGTTGGAACTCGAGCTCTGGCCTGTATCATCACAAACGACTCAGCGTCCAGTCCGTCAAGAGAAGGAGGACCGTCCTTACCTCCGCTACTACCTCCTTCACCAGCTCGACGGTTGCGGTTGTTGCGAATATCCCGAGACCGAAAGACGCTGTACAAAAGCCACAATGTCACCCAATTGGGAGCGTGCTCGCCCGTGGTCGCGCCTTGATCGAAAAGCGTTCGTTGAATGGTGCCAGGCTTTGCTTGTTGCCAGGTGTCAATGATTGCTTGCCGCCGGCGGTCGAGGCGTATATGATGCCAAAAGAAGGGAGGCGTTGTAGATGTGTCGTTTCGTTTCTCGTCTATCAGACTCGATCGATCCGAGTTCAGTTTGCTATACACGGCAATTGCCTCGTCCTGTCGCCTGATCAGCTGTTGACGCTTTTCTAGCATGGGATGTTTCCCCCGTCCAACTCTAACATACTCTCATAGCCCGATAATACCCTTCGTGGCGAGGATCGGTGGTGCTTAAGCCCAGAGCCCTCATGAAGTCATCCTTGGGAGCTCTCGGTCCTACCGGCTGTCTCTGAGGCATTCTGACGATGAAGCGAAAGAGGTGATAAAAGAGCCCGAAAAATATGTGCAAGACGATGGATGGTACGAGGCCGTGAGTATAGCGAGCGTCACAGGATTGACAGCGTGAAGTTGCTTGGGCGCATCATATATATTGCCACTGAGCTCCAAGGTCTAGGCGCCAGAGGAGAGCAAACAGCGGCTTGATCCCCACCTGCCGTTCAATTCAGCAAGACGATAAAAACCCGGGCTTTTCAGTTGGGCATCTGGCCAAGATGGTTTTCAAATTCGGACCTTCCGGCGCGTCAGGAAAAGGTTGATGGATTCGTCCCGCGACGGCTTCATCAAGCCTGAAGTCAAATGTGCTCGTGCATTACACACAGCAAAGAGGTTAGCCAGTTTGACATGTATGCGTGTTACCGCCTTGAGCAAGGGCTCCTCGTGGCTGGTTATTGTGTGGAACTCTAGCAACGCCAAACCGGACGATGTCCGTCATGCCGCATATTTCCCCATGCGTCGCCTTGTTGCATGGGGTCTGAGTGTTCCAGGCCCGTTGGGAATCCCAATTGTCCCATGTGCATGTACCAAAATTTCAATTCAAAGAGGCGCGAGCAACATGATAGGGCCATTATACCGGGCTTACTGAAACAGGCAACTTGAAACGCCGGCCTGCAGCAAACGCAAAGGCACAAGTCTATACTGTTTCATGCGCTGGCTACGCCCGAGAACGTTGGGTACGTGGATTGCTGGTCGCTATACTTCCGGTGTCAGCCAGGGTCCCAAGCGTCGCCCGGTAAGTGACAGTCATTTGCGAATGGTTGGTTCGACCTCTTTCAAGGCCAATATGACAGCTGCCGTGTCACGGACGCTCACCCACAAGACATCAACAAACCTTGAATCAAGGTTTGCCTTTACATTTCCCCAGACTGTTTTGGCATTGGGCAGAATAGCGCAGATCCAGGATGCAGATGTTTGCTACCTCGGAGGCTAAATTAAGACATGCATGAGGCAACAAACAAATACGACACCGATGCTTCTGGACCCTTCAGACAGTAGCGATTAAACACATGACGGTTGACGACAGCTCTTCAGCTCGATTGCCTCACTGGTAGTTTTCACGGCTGTCAAAAATGATATCAAGGCCGCCATGGACGTCGTCTGGTCATCTCCCCTCCTGCCCGTCTTCTGTTCGAATTATCACCTAGTCCAAACCTGTGTCCCAATCTGGAACTCGTATGGCTCACAACCCTTCCCCAGAAGTCCTTCCCGCTTCATCTTCCTGGTTTGGCCGTTCGAATGTACTACTTGAAGCTCTGCCAAAGGTGGAAGATTGTTCAAAGAATCGTTCCATCGCCTTGCTCCACCGTGGAAAGGCAGCCTTCCTGCTGCTGTTGTGCGACCTGTCAATGTTAGTCGGCTGTACGAGGTTTGGGACGTCGTCGTAACCAGTGAGCCGCCAATTTCTGTTAGCTTGTCCTACCAACGAAAGATTGTATGCCTGGGAGTCAACAACAACGTCACCAGAAGACTCCATGGTCGGTCTGCAGCTGGACATCTCGCCCGTGGGCAGCGAATGTGTGTCCTGTTGGCTGCCTCTTCGAACTTGTGGAGTCCATCCTCTGGATTGCTAGATAGGCAAGAGTGTTCTTGCTAGCACGTTCAGAGGCTCATAACATCGATGCCAGGATCCAAATATTGGCAGGGGGATGGATTACTGATAACAGACCCCCTCTATTGCTGGTGTTTGGGCGAATCCATTGAGATACAACGAGAGGGCTAATTCTGGAGCGGGCTGACATAAAGCTGTTTGCTCGCGCAGTTGCTGAGGCACTTGCAGAAAGGTCATAGCTCACGAGACTTGTCTGAGGAATAGGAGAATAGGCGGAACCGCAGGGCTGCCTCTAGTCTAATAACATGTTTTCCATGACTCGTACAGAGCAAAGGCATTTTTCGTGCGTGAGCCCCCAAAGCCGCTCGCACAAGGCTCACGAGATCGGAAGGGATTCTTGTTCTTGGGGAATTTGTGTTGCGAGTCCAGACGGTTGAATCAGCCGTAGCGGCAACCTGGCATCGTTGGCAAGGGAACAAACATCCAGGACATTTGACCGTGAGACGGGCTGCTTCGCGTCTGTGAGGGCGGTGAACTGGAAACAGACCGGTCTCAGCGCGGAAACGGAAAGGTAGAGAAATGGCTGGCTGTAGTCACATTTTTTTGATGGTCTTGTACCTTCGAATAGGAGAATGAGGAAGAGCTACGTACTCGGTACATACCAAGAATCAAGGTACGTAACCCCATATGTCCGCCCAGCATGGTTCTAGTTAGCACGATACGGCAATGTTGCCGATTCTTAGAGAGCCTCGCAAGGCTGCGGCTTTCGTTAGCACAAACGCCGTACATGGTCATCCACACCTCTGTCAACTAGGTCTGGGGCCGGCGAGTGCGGGCGGATTGCTTTGATTTCAATTGCAGAAACGGGCTCAGACAAGCTGTTTCGACCTTGCAGGCATAGGTTGGTCTAAGAGTCAGCACCGGAAACTGCGGATGACTAGTATGTGGAATCATGTGTCTACTGCTGGTGCTGAAGCTGTTTTACATTCATACTGTCGCTGATGAATTTTGAATCAATTGATGACTGCGCCTCTCCCAAAACTGACTGTCAACCACTGGTCCCTCAGCACAGCCATCTTCCGAAGCTTACTACCTCTTCCCCTCGCTCGATCATCCTCCGTTCACCACCCCTCCTTGCTTCACACCGTCTACGTCTCAGAGAGCTCGGCTTGCGTCTTCCGGCTCGGCTCACACGACAAACATGACAAGTCCACTGACCATCCCCACGCTCCTTCTTAAAACGCGGTCTCAACCACATGATGCTTATGAGGAATACTTCGCCGCCTCCTGCAGCAACGGCGGCGGTGGCGATGCTACCACCTCCACCACCGAGAACACGGATAGTCCTAGTCCCGTCTTCCTGCCCGAGTTCGTGCCCGTGCTAGACCATCGAGCAAACGTCCAGAATCTGAGCACACTCGAGGAGCTGCTGAAGAGGGGGAGGCTGAGTGAGCAATATGGTGGGATGGTCTTCACTAGTCAGAGGGCGGTCGAGGCGTGGGCCGACGTGGTCAAGAGAGTCGAGCGAGGGGCCGAGCAACAGAGGGGCACGGACGGTGTTGGACAGGGAGGCGTGAATTCGTCCACTCCGGATTGGGGCACCGGTATGGTCTGTCCCTCCGACGCTACTCCCTTGTGCACGGAGAAAGGAATTGACTTGGAGGTGTCCCTTGACAGGTATGACGCAGACGTCCGATCCCACAGCAGACTATGGTGGTGCTGCGAGGGATCTCTTCGACGACGACTTTGTGTTCCCCCTGTACACCGTTGGGCCTGCGACCTCGCGGGCATTAAACGCCCTTGTCGCCGAATCTTCGTCCTCGCAGTCTTCGCCCTTCTCTCGCCTACGCCCTTCCGTGCTGGGCGAACATACTGGCAACGGTGACAAACTGGCACAATACATCCTCTCGCACTACAACGCCCTGCATTCGCGGCGACTCGATACCTTCTACGACGCACCGAGACTGCCATTCACACCCGGTCTCGGGCCTCCGAGGGGAGAACGGGTCGACAGAGATGACGCGAAATTGCAAAAGAAGCCTTTGCTCTTCCTTGTTGGTGAGCAGAGAAGGGATGTCATACCGAAGACACTGATGGATAACGAAGGTAAGTTGGCGCCGGAGGAGAGGATCCAGGTGGACGAGGTCGAAGTCTACACCACCGTGGTCATGGAGTCTTTTCAAGATGACTTTCGAAGGCGGATCAAGAGGTTCAAGGACGACGGGGCCAGAGTGGTCGTGGTGGTCGTCTTCAGTCCTCAGGGTTGCGAATCCATGCTTCGGTCCCTAGACTATATCGATGAAAGCAAGGCATTAACCGAACGCGCGAGGACAACAAGGTGGGAGAACTTCAGATATGATGATGGCGACGTATCTGCCTCGGACGCGCAGACCAGGTACATCATTGCGACCATCGGTCCGACGACGCGCGACCATCTCAGGAACAAGTATAGCTTCGACCCTGACGTGTGTGCTGCCAAACCGAGCCCCGGCGGCGTAGGTCAGGGCCTCGTGCAGTTCTTCCGGGAGAAAGGGTTGATGTAGATGAGAGACAAGATACGGAGGAATTTTTTCTCTCCCTCTGTCTTTCTTCTCGCCGAAAAGAAAGGGAAGGGAAGGGAAGAAAGCCATGAAAAGCAATAATAACAGAGTATCAAGAGATCTTGATTAAGAACCCATCCCTCTAAGTAGATGTTGTCATCAACATGCACATGCACATGCACACGCATTTGGGCTGTTTTCCTTAAGCTTGCTTGAACTTGAACTTCACGGCCCTTCTCTCTACCTCAGCAGCGTTGGCCACATACATCTATCCCTCCCCTCGGCGCTATGGTGATGACGATGATCGTCGTGAGAAACCTCTCTTCCAACACCATATCGCCCAACGTCCAACGTCCAGCGTCCAGCGTCCAGCGTCCAATCCAGCGCTCAAATCAAGTTCAAAGCGTAGCCTTCTCACTGACCCGCCACCTCCCCTCCTTGGAGCGCACGACCTTGCCGTCGCGCCGCAGCTTCTCGAGCACCATCAGCAGCCCGTTCTCGGCCGGCTGCCACAGGTTCTCCGGGTAGTGGCGGTAGATGACCTTGACCATCTCGATACTCTCCCACTCCTTGCCCAGCGCGATCTCGCCTCCACCGACGGCAACGTTGGCAGGGGAAGCGCCTGCGGCTTCGTCGTCGCCGTCATCGCCGACTCGCGTGATGCTGTCGTGCACGAGCGGCTCCGAGCCGCCTGGCGGCGTCGTGGTGCCGTGCTTGAGCACGTTCAGGGCCTCTTCCTCGCGCATTCGCCGGTGTGCAATGTACTCGTCGATCTTGGCCACGGCGTCGTCGATCACGGCCCCGTGCCCTGGGAACGCCCTCTTGCTCGTGATCGTGCCGCCCTTCTGCGCTTGCTGCGTGACGACGGCGTCCGCCACCCGCCTCTTCATCACGTCCAGGCTCTGTAGGTACAGGTGCAGGTCTTCGAACACGGCCGTGCCGTGGCCCAGCACGTTGTCCGCCGTGAACAGCGCCCCCACTTCCGTCGGGTCGGGCGACGACGTGATCTGGAAGACCATGTGGTCTTTGGCATGGCCAGGAGTGTGGATCGCTTGGATCTCAAACGGCGCTTCCTCTGTTGTTGTCCTGCCCGACGCCGAGTCCTCTGAGGGAGGAACGGAGAAAATCTGCCCGTCTAGGATGTCGTGCACGCGCGAAGGGTCGATCAAGCCGTCCGGGTTCCACGTCGGTTGGTTCTTGTAGACCTTCACTGCCCCTCCTCCCTCTTCGGGACTGTTGAGTTCCCGGCAGAGCTTTTCCAGGTCTCTCACCCCGCCTAGGTGGTCGTGGTGCCAGTGTGTCAGCAGGCATGTCGACACGGTGATGGGTCTGCTCTGCGAGGTCAACACGGTGCGTAACGTGTCGATCCACTTCTTCTCGCCCGCCCCCGTGTCGATCAAGATGCGCCGGGGCCCTGTGCCGAGGAGATACGTGTTTGTGCCCTGGAGCGTGAACTATTCCCACAAGAAGGTTAGCATAAAAGTATGTAAGGTCTGAGTAGGATATTGAAACCATCAGTCTTTTCTCTCTGTTGTCTCCCTGTACCCCAGCACCAAATTGCAAGACGACGCCTGTCTCTCCAGAAGAAAAAGGAGGAGGAATGGTAGACAGAGAAGCCATGACAACAGTAGGGCCCGTATTAGACAGACAACGTGAGTGCACACCCACTAACCTTGCTAGGATTCCCGCCCAGGATGCGAACAATGTTCGTGCTGATCTGCTCCCAGTCTGGGAGTTTTGGTAGGTTCTGTGCCATGGCGCGTCTCCGGCCTCGAAAGGTCGAGTTGGTAGTGGTGATGCTGTGAAAGGGTCTCAGTCCCGTGGAGATCTGGCGCATATAACGGCCTGTCGGGCTCGATGTTTGTATTAGTCCTCGATCTCTCTCTAGATGGTAGCGTGAGTGACTAATCCTTCTGGGGCCGATTTGATGTAGAGGTGGAAATGTTGCGAGGTCGGATAGGACGAGACAGGCTGAATCGGCGGCTTAAGGGGTGTATGCACCCGGGCTCTGTGTCAAGGGGATTTGTTTTGGTGGAGCAATAATAGCGACGGATTTTCGGAGGTGTGATAGAAACAATTCACGTCTTACTCGGTTGTCCGTTGGCGACTCTGTGCATTCACGCCATTTCACAGAGCAAATCCCGGCCCTTTCATGCACACAGAAGACCCTTCCAAAGAACGAGGTCGCGTAACAAAACCCCTTCGGGGACTGTAGGTACGTAAGAGCCGAGAGCGAGGTTTTGTCCTTATATATACAAGCTGTGACAGAAGATACAGCGCATATCGCAATCGCCGGCCCGTAATTGTCAATCGGGTATTCCCCCCACATGCCGAGGTTCTCACGGCCTCTGTCAATGACATCGTCGTGCAGCCTTGTGCTGCTCAGACCTTCAGATACATAAGCATCATATCCGAGTGCGTGGAAACGACTTAGGCTTATGAGGAGAGGATGGAATGTAGTAGTGACTTTTGAAAACTGTTGTGCACTGGTATTCCCGCTACGAAAAAGTACATAAAATCATGCCCCCGATCTGCCGCCAATCCATCTCGACACACGGATGATATTTGACCTCTACTTCTCACTTTCCGTCCCGGATCTCAATTAACTGAGGTTTTCTTGAGCCGCCTCCGTTGTCCGGCCCCCTCCGTCTCGATTTCATTTGCATCCTGTACAATAGTTGCATGTTAACTTGAGACGAACTCGATCCGTTTTTCAACGGCTGCCGTGCATTTTGGCCATGGTGTTCAAGGCACTACCATTCTTGAACCATTCGATTTGGCCGGCGTTAAATGTGTGTTGCAACTCGCAGTCCCAGGCCTTGCCATCCTTGGGGTGCACTCTCATAGTCACAGGCTTGCCCGGTGCCAAGTCAGTGATCAACAAGTCGACTTTGTCGTCAGGGTTGATCTTGTCGTAATCTTCGGGGTTAGCGAAGGTCAGGGGCAGCATGCCCTGCTTCTTCAAGTTGGTCTCGTGGATACGAGCAAAGCTTCGAGTGATGATGGCAATACCTCCAAGATGTCTGGGTTCAAGGGCGGCATGCTCTCGAGAGGAGCCTTCGCCGTAATTCCAGTCGCCGATCACTACCCACGGAATGCGTTCCTTCTTGTATTGTCGAGCAGTGGCAGGAACCGCATCCCATTCGCCTGTCTTGAAGTTCTTGACCTTATTGGCCTCACCGTTGGCAGCATTGATGGCACCAATCAGCATGTTGTTGGAGATGTTGTCAAGGTGACCGCGATACTTCAACCAGGGACCAGCCATGGAGATGTGATCGGTCGTGGTCTTGCCCTTGGTCTTGATCAGGATAGGAAGATCGAGGAAATCCTTACCATTCCATGGCTCAAAAGGTTCCAGGATCTGGAGACGGTCGGACGTAGGAGAGACTTTCACATCCACTTGCGCACGCTCCTCAGGCGGGGCTTGATACGTATCACGGCCTGGGTCGTATCCGTTTCGGGGCAGACCCTCGCCAGTAGGGGGCTTGAGCTTGAAGTCGTTGCCATCCTTGTCCTTCAGTGTGTCCGTGAGAGGGTTGAAGTTGAGATTTCCTGCAATGGTCATGGCCACCACCAAGTCTGGGGACGTGACGAATGAGTGGGTAGCAGGGTTTGCGTCGTTTCGGCCGGTGAAGTTTCGGTTGTACGAAGAGATGATCGAGTTGGGCTCGCCCTTCTTGACATCTCGTCGATCCCACTGACCAATGCAAGGGCCGCAGGCGTTTGCGAGGATGATGCCGCCAAAGTCCTCGAGAGTCTTCAATTGACCATCTCTCTCGATGGTGGCACGAATTTGTTCCGAACCAGGCGTGACAGTGAACTTCATATCGTCAGCAAACTCTATCGGGGTAGAAGATCACAATAACACATACCAGAGATTTAGCTTTGACGCCGTGGTCCATAGCATCCTGAGCAATTGATGCAGCCCGGCTCATGTCCTCTACGACCACCTGTTAGCCTTTACTGATCCTGGCCCAAAAATCACAAAAGTCAAACAGTCTTTGGGAGAATGGGAAATCTTACCATACGAGGAGTTTGTGCAGGAGCCGATCAATCCAACCTTCAACTCCTCTGGCCACTTGTTATCCTTGACTGCCTGTGCGAACTTGGAGATGGGAGTGGCCAAATCTGGGGTGAAGGGGCCGTTGATGTGAGGTTCAAGTTCGGAAAGATTGATCTCAATGAGCTGATCGTACTCGGCACCTTCGTCTTCGTGAAGCTCAGCAGCATATGCACGAGCGAAGTCGCCAATATGCTTGCGCTTGGTGGCTACCAAGTAATCATACATGCGATCGTTGAAAGGGAATATGGACGTAGTGGCTCCGATCTCGGCACCCATGTTGCACTGTACATAGTGAGCATTCACGTCTAAACGAATGTGGATATTTGGCACTTACGATGGTACCCATGCCGGTGCAGGAGAGGTTATTGGTACCCGGACCTTCGGAAAAATATTAGCCATAATTCCGCATGGTATTATTCCTCCAAAAAAGAAGGGAAACACAGTGAGGGATGGGCCGAACTGAAAAACAGTGGTATGCTAGAAGTCATTCGCCATTGGGTCGGAGGTGCCATTCGTTTGTAAGGGGCGTTTCCATCTCCTCATAGGAATAGCGGTGCTCTGTCGGTTGTCCGTAACTGTTGGCTGTATTCGACCCGGCGGCGATTTCGACATTGTCAATCACTCCGGCTACGTTGGAAGTAGCGTGTATTCGGGTCAAGAACGGTGCCACTTATTTTTGGATTCGGCGCGGCCCGCCCAGGAGAATGCCCAGGAGAATATGATGGGGTAGGAGAGCGCACCCGAGGACGTATCGAGGAAAAAGTGCATACTCACCATGATATTCAACAATTGCCCTGTACATATGTTAGAGTCTGTCTCGGTATGAGTAGAAGCTTGAGGACAATGGGAAACTCACCCCGTGCCACCTTTGACTGTCAAGATGCCCGCGACCTTTAGGATGATATCTATGATGAATCAGTATAATACAATAACAGTCTGTATAACAGCCAACTCACCCTTCGGAGAGGTCCATCCAGACATTTCACCGGTCAACTTGACGCCAATCATCTTGGGTGCCTTCAATTCCCAAGGCAGGTTGGCCATCACGTCGACAGCATCGGCACCACCCACGCCGATCGCAGCCATACCAAGACCACCAGCATTGGGGGTATGGGAGTCGGTTCCAATCATCAAACCACCAGGAAATGCATAATTTTCCAATATTATCTGATGGATAACTGTTTTTCGCGAACATCCGTTAGCCTGTATCATTGCAGACCCAACACAAAAACAATAATAAGAATAGTTCCAGCATCAACCGAACTGTCTTTCGGAGACGCAAAGCACTTACTGCCCGAGCCAGGACGCCAGAAGCCGATGTTGTATTTTGCACAAGCCGTGGACAAGAAATCGTAGACCTCTTTGTTGATGTCCTTTGCTCTTTCCAAATCCTTGTCCCCACCAACCTGGGCCTCAATCAGATGATCGCAATGGACGGTGGTCGGTGTAGCGACTGAGGGCATGCCAGCGGACATGAATTGCAAGATGGCCATCTGCGCGGTAGCATCTTGACAAGCGACTCGATCAGGTCTGAGTTTGAGGTAGGAAACTCCACGCTCGATATCTTGCCCATGCGGGTCATCCAGGTGTGAATAGAGAACTTTCTCAGCATAGGTGAGAGGGCGGTTGAGTCTGCTGCGGACAATTGCTAGGTTTTCCGACATCTTCCTGCAAGGAGTATCAGTAACGACGACTGATTTCTATATGAGATTGTCCGAGCCACCACTTTCAGGAGTCGAAACCTCTAAGCTCCCAGTCTGAAAACAGAAGCAATTGGGACAGGTACTCACTTGTAGTTGATGTAATGGCCTTTCTCCCAGTTCGTCATCTCGACCTGTGTTAGGCTGTTAGCACCTATGAACAATGCAGACGTGCCAGGTGTGACTTATTTTTGCTGAGCGGATCGTCAGAGACAGTGGCATAACCCATTCTGGACATCCGCAAGGGCTGGTATGGATTGTCAGTGAGCTGGTACTGCTTCCGGATCGAGGTAGATAGATAACTAACAGAACCAACTTTGGCTCCCTAGGTTCAGCACCCATGTCAGCTCGGGGTCGTAGATGAGAGCCAGAAGCAAGGCAATGATTAACTCCATGCAGCAACTGTGAAGGTTGCGGAAACACCAAGCGAGCAAAGGTATGATGCAAGCAGTTCGGATGACTTACCAGGCGGGAGGCCAGGCGGCCCAAAGGCCTCGAGGACATCATATTGGCGACAAAACTTGATGTCTAGCGGAAGGCGCAGAAATCCCAAGCTCAAGGGAGAGCCGGTCAGGATCAAGAGAGAGCGGAGAGGTGAAAAGAAATGAAGAAAGAAGCTGTGAAGTGTGGAGGGAGAATTGAGATGTGGATGAATGGGAGGAGTTTGTTGCAAGCTCGCAGGGTGCAGGCTGGAGCACCCACCCAGCACCAATCAGCCTCGGGCAAAGAGGCCAAAGCACGATAAGCCTGGAACGACGTCAAGTGCGGAAAACGAGCAACCGCTTCTCCTCCTCATCGACGCAATATTTTCCAGGAAGAGGTTCGTGGAATTCCAACAATCCCTTAGCCCTTGATATATAGCCATGCATCCACCAGACCGATCTTGCCGCACAACAACAACTAACCTGAAGCATTCCGCAGCTCCTACCTACTGCTCGGTACCTAGGCAATGAGCTCCACCGCTACCCCATGCCACCCATGCTGCTCATGCTC